TTGGATTCCTCACAATCTTTCACCCCTCATTCCATATCTAATCTGTTTTCAAGACCTGTCAATTTAAACTTTGAAATATCTTTCAAATATACTCAGTTCTCTCCTTTAATACTGCTGCCTCCCTGGTGCCTTCATCACTTCACACCTGGATTCCTGCAGCACTCTGCTGGTGGGTCTTTACTTTTGCCTGTCTCAAAGTCTCTCCCCACTCCAGTCCCCTCAGTTATCAAAGTGATTTTCCTAAGATGCAGGTCTGACTATGTTACGCTTCTACTTGACAAACTCTAGTGACTCCCCACCACCTCCAGGATCAAATATAAAATCCTCTGGCACTCAAAGCTTTTCATAACCAACCCCAACTTTCTTTTGCCCTGCCCTTCTCTCCCTACTCCCCGCCCCACCCCCAAGCACTCTGCCATCCAGGGACACTAGACTCCTTGCCGTTCCTCAAATGAGACATTCCATCTTCAGATTTACAGCATTTTCCACTGGCTGTCCTCTATACCTGAAATGCTTTCCCTCCCCATCTCTATCTACTGTGGCTTCCTTTGATTTCTTCAAGTTCCAACTAAAATCCCACCTCCTACAAAAAGCCCTTCCTAATCCCACTTAATTCTAGTGCCTTCCCTCTGCTAATTGTTTCTTATTTATCCTGTATATAGTTTGCTTGTACATAATTTTTTACATATTATCTCTCTCATTAGATTTTTAATTCTTCAGGGGCAAGGACTGTATGTTGCCTTTCTTTGTACCCCTAGTGCTTAGCATAGTGCCTATCACATAATTGATGTCAGTAGGCAATAAACGTTAACTGCCTACTACCATTCACACTTTCCTGAAGCAATCTTCCTTTTTTTTTTTTTTGCTTTTTGATGAAGCAGTCAAGGTTAAGTGACTTGCCCTGGGTCATACAGCTAGTACGCATCAAGTATCTGAGGCTGGATTAATCTGTTCCACTTTTACAAAGCTCTTATTGTTAAGATTTTTTCCTTTAGCTGTATCTTAAAGAGATCATAAAAATGGGGAAAAGACCCACCTGTACAAAAATATTTATAACAGCTCTTTTTGTGGTGGCAAAGAATTGAAAATTGAGGGGATGCCCGTCAATTGGGGAATAGCTAAACAAGTTGTGGAATATGAATGTAATGGAATATTATTGTGCTATAAGAAATGATGAGCAAGTGAACTTCAGAAAAACTTGGAAAGATTTGTATGGACTGATCCTGAGTGAAGTGAGCAGAACCAGGAGAATGTTGTACACAGTAACAGCCACGTTGTGTGATGACTAACTTTGATAGCCTTAGCTCTTCTCAGCAATGCAAGGCTCTAAGACATCTCCAAAAGTCCCATGATGGAAAATGCTACTTATACCCAGAGAAAGGACTATGGAGTCTGAATGCAAATCAAAGCACACTATTTGCTCTTTTTTTCCTTCTGTTTTGTTTCTTCTTTCTTGTGGTCCCTCCTATTGGTTCTAATTCTTCTTTACAACATGACTAATGTGAAAATATGTTTAATAGAACGTATATGTTGAGCCTATATAAGATTGGGGAGGAAAAGAGAGGAGGGAGGAGGAGAAAATTTAAAACTCAAAAGCTTATGGAAGTGAATGTTGAAAACTAAAAATAAGTAAATTAATTAAAACAACAACAACAAAAGAATTTTTCCCTTATATCAAACCTTACCCATGCAACTTCAACTACTGCTACTGGTTCTGTCCTTTGTAGCCAAGTAGAACAAGTTTAATCCATTTTCTAAGTAAGATCTTATCAAATAAATAAAGACACCTATCACTTTTCCCTAAGTCTCCTCAGTCAGCCAATAAACATTTATTAAGTACCTACTATGAGAACCAAGAAAGAATGGTGTCCTGAAAACCTAAAGAGAAGAAGGCGTGGAGAAGAAGAGGGTGATCATCAGTGTCAGAGGCTGCAGGGAGGTCAAGAAGGGTGAGGACAGAAAAAGGGTCATTAGATTGGGCAATTTAAAGATCATTGGTAACTTTGAAGAGAGCAATTTCAGTTGAATGATGAGGTCATTCAGAAGCCAGACCATAGAGAGTCAAGAAGAGTGGGAGGAAAGGAAGTGGAGGCACCTATTGTAGACAGCCTTCTCAAGAGGTTTAGCCACAAAAGGGAGGAGAGATATGGGACAATAGCTAGTGGGGCTGAATGGTTCAAGTGAGGGTTTTTTGAGGAGGGAGGAGACATGTGCATGTTTGCAGGCAACAGGGAATCAACCAGTGGACAGGCAGAGATTGAAGACAAATGAAAGAGTGGAGACAATAGAAGGGGCAGTCTCCTGGAGAAGATGGGATGGAATGGAATTACTTGTGCATGCAGAGGAGTTTGCCTTGGCAAGGAGGAGAACCATCACATCATGTGAGAGCAGTGAAGGAGAAGATAATGGTGGAAAGTATCAAGGTACTGGGGTGATGCAAGTTGAGGATGGGGTAATAATAATAGTATTATAATAATGAAGAGGGAGCTCTCAGTGAATGGCCACAATTTTTCTAGTAAAACATGACACAAAGTTCTCAGCTAAGAGAGTGGGAAGGGAGAGCCATGGGAGGTTGAGGGGGGATAAAAAATGTTTGGAAGAACTGCTGTGGAGAGTAGGAGACTGAGTTAATTAGGGAGATGTAAAAGGATCATCTTGCTGCAGTGAGGACCCACTTGATAGAGCCTTCATCACTGTCATGCCATGGGTACTCTCCATCTTGTCAGTGTCCTCCAGTGTGATGCCCGGAGCTGAACAGAGTCCTCCAGAGGTCATATGACCTGAGCTGAGCCCAGCAAAGTAGAGCAGAATATTCCCCTCCCATTCGCACGACCTTATGTGCTTTTTTGTGTAGCAAAGGTCAAGTTAACTTTTTGGACCTCCATTTCATCCTGTGAACTAGTAATGAATTTGCAGTTCATTAGAACTTGTAGGTCTTGCTCAGATGGGCTGCTATTCTGGCCATGCCTCTCCAGCTTTTAACCTGTGAAGCCTTTTTTTTAAACCCAAATGTAAGATTTTATATTTATCTTTATTAAGTGTTACCTTATTTACTTCTTGACCCATTAAGATCTTTTTAGATCCTAATTCTTATATCTAATATGTTGTCAGAGATTATAACTCATACACAGATAACTATAATATACAGGAATTAAGCTGGGACCATGGTATGTTGGAAAGAGAAGTAAATGTGGTATCAGAAGATATGTTTGAATCCCAGCTCTTTCACTTGCTACCTTTGTGTCCTTCCTCATCTACAAAATGAGGGAGTTAGACTAGATAATGTCAACTCTAAAACCATATGTTCCTAAGTACATTAAGAATGTAAGATTAATTGCTACAATGGGTCATAGCTCATATTTCCATATCACTTCAAGGTTTACAATGTATTTTCCTTACAACAATCTTTGGAGGTTAGTTATTATAAGAATTATTCTCTCATGTTACTTATGAGGAAACTGAGGCTCAGCGAGATTAAGTGACTTGCCTATATGAAGTAACATAGCTAGTCTGTGTCAGAGGCAAGTTTTGAACCCAGGTCTTCCTGATTCAGTCTAAAGCTTTTCCTACTATACCACCCCTGAACTAGGTATTCTGACATTACCACATTCATGTCTGTTCTCAAACTGATCTGGAAACAGTATTGCAAAGTGATGTTTCCTACTGAGTTTGTAGAAACTAGTATATCCTTTAAATAAACTAGGATTACATAGAAGTATATGCTAGAGACTAGCAAAAGCAGTCTTCTTGCTGTTCCTGCCTCATGGTAATTCATCTCCCATATCCATGCCTTTACATTAGCCATCTCCCCATACCTGGAATGCTCTCCCTCCTCACTTCTACCTCCTAGAATCCCTTCCTTCCTTTAAAGACTCAGCTTGAGCACTGCTTTTTACCGGTAGCCTTTCCCAGTCTCCCCCAACTGCTAATGTCCTGTCTTCAAACTACCCTGGATTTATTCTCTATCGATGTATCTGTCTGTCTGTCTGTCTGTCTATCTATCCATTTATCTATCTATGTATGCTTTGTCTCCCTTTTTATATCTAAGCTTCTTGAGAGCAGAGACAGTTTCATTTTTGTTTTTGAATCCTTAGCACTAAGCAAAGTGCTTGGCACATTAATAACTTAATAAGTGCTTATTGATTTATTGATCAACTATGGATAAATCAATTGTATCTCAGTTTCCTTATCTATAAAATGAAGGGTTTGCCTACACAATCTCAGGTTCCTTTGAGGTATAAAAGGGAGAGGGGAAGGGAATAAACATTTACTAAACATCTACTATGTGCCAGGCACTGTGCTAAGTGCTTTATAAATGTTATCTCGTTTGATCCTCATGAAAACCCTGGAAGGTAGGTGCTATTATTATCCCCATTTTACAGTTAAGGAAACTGAGATAGAGGTTGACAGAATTGCCCAGGATCATGCAGCTACGAAGTGACTGAGGCAAGATTTGAATCAATTCCAAATCCAGTGCTTTATCCACTGTGCCACCTAGCTACCTATGAAGGAAGGAAGGGAGGGAAAAAATATTTATTAAGCACCTACTAAGTGCCAGGTACCATGCTAAGTAATTTACAACTAAGGTTTATGAAATTATAAAATTCCTGTTTTCTTGCCTATGGGTAAGCTACTGAAACTCTCTGAGCCTGTTTCTTTATTTGTAAAATGGGGACAATAATACTTGGGATTTTGAACTGGAAGGGACTTTAAAGATCACTCAGTCCCACCTGTCCTTTTTACCGATAAGGAAAAAGTGAAGTGACTTATATAAGATCACACTAATCATAAGTGGCAGAGCTGGAATTATAATAGCTACTTCCCAAGGTTGGCATGAGGAAAGTCCTTTAGAGAGGGCAGAGGGCTACAGAAACATGAGCTGTGACTAATTCTTACATCTACAATTCCTAGTCCTAGATTGGTGTATCTGTGATAATCCAACTATCTGCTGCTTCTACTTATATTATAGAGCAGCTTAAACAATTCATTTACTTTTCAAGGTGACGTGCTGGTGGTTCCCATCAAACTCCACAAGTGCCCTTTCTGCCCATACACAGCCAAGCAGAAGGGCATCCTCAAACGGCACATCCGCTCCCACACCGGTGAAAGACCCTACCCCTGCGACACCTGTGGCAAGCGGTTCACCCGACAGGAGCACCTGCGGAGCCACGCCCTGAGTGTGAGTTTGGGAGTGCCCCTCCTTCCTGCAGGCATGGATGGGCCCAGGGTCATCTGGTTTAGGGTGGCAACCTTCTGGGTGTTGCCTTTGGGGCCCCCTCAGTTGTGTCAGACTGTCTGATAGCTACCAATTTCTGGTGCTAAGATCCCAGCTACCCTAGCTTGAGCTTTGAGGACTTTTTAGCAGGGAAATTGATGAGATGGCAAAGCACATAGTAAGTGCTTAATAAATGCTTCTTGATTTGACAAGATAAAGCTAGAAGTTGTCTAGAGCAGGGTTTCTTGAGCTTTTTCCATTCAAGACCCCTTTAGCTCTTCTTAAACAGCTTAAGAAGTGCTGCAAGAGGTGGCAGGACCAAGATGGTGAAGAACGGGAAATACTCTTCTATGCGGATTGGATGAAAGAACTGAGGACATAATTTAGCCTGAGAAGATTTAGAGGGGACATGGTAGCTACTTTTAAATACATTGGCTTGATTGGCCACTTATTGGGAATATTGTAGAGGAGATTCCTACTTCTGGTAGGGATTGGCCTGGATGCCCTCTGAAGTCCCTTCTAAACTTGAGAGTCTGAAGTTCTTCCATCTTGACTCTCAGCTCATCTCCTAAGTCCCCCAGCTTATTAAATATAGATCCTATTCCCTAGTAGGTTTAAAATGCATATTCTAATGGATTTTGGGTGGGGGTGACTTTTACCTTAAAGATCATAGGATAATAGATCTGGAACTGGAAGGGACCTCAGAGGTCATCTATTCAACCCCTTCATTTTATAGATGAAGAAACCAAAGCACAGAGAAGCTAGTAATTTGCCCCATATCACATAATAAGTGTCAGAGGCAGCATAGTAAGTCCTTAGCTTAGCACAGTGCCTGAGACATAGTAAGTCCTTAATAAATGCTTGTTGACTTGACTCCTGTTCCCAACATCCCAACACTATGGTGTCAAGAGTCCTAGCCCACACTTGGACTGGGGGAGGAGGAGACTTGGGGATGCAGGGAGAATAGGAAGAAGGGGGACTCCCTAAGTCCAAATAGGATAGTTCCCTCACAGAGTATGTTTGTGGTCCAGGAAATGTTTGAGAATTATACTTCATAACTCTTCTTCCTCCCAATGCCCTTCCATGTGTTTCTGTCAACTGGTGGTTTTGATCCTTCATTGTAACTTAACTTGTCAAAAAATAAATTCCCAAAGGACACAGCTAAATTTTCTGACAATAATGTTATCAATAACAATAAGACAGCATGTAGAGAGAAGAGAGAAATTTCCTCAGAGGCAGGAAGACCTGGGTTCAAATCCTGCCTCTGACATATCCTGGCTGTGTGATTCTGAGCAAGTCACTACCTTTCAGTGGCCCCAGACAACTCCCTAAGCCTATAAATTGCAGAGAAGGGGCCAATCCGTATTGGTGGAGAGAGTTTCATTATCTGGGAATTCTCTACACCAATGAAACCACAGGTCCAGTCCCTATCTTAAAAATAGTGGTAACAGTAGTTCGTGGTATCTCATTTGTTCCTCACACTAACCTGGGGAGGTTGGTGCTATTATTATGCCTATTTTACAGATGAGGAAACTGAGACTGAGAGCAGTTAAGTTAAGTTTATTGTCCAGGGTCTGAGGTGGGATTTGAACCCAGGTCTTTCTGGTTCTAAGTCTAGTGCTTTCTACCACACAGCCTCTCCAATCACAATATTTATGGATCTATAAAATGGAATATTAAAGGTCCTTTTCCTCTTCCCCCTCCTCCTCATGTTTGTGCGTCTTGCTTCCGCTCCTCCATCTATACGATGCTTCAGTAAGATCAGAGTTCTCTTTGGTGACCTGGCGAAGGCTATGCCAGTGGAGCCCAAGATTTGGCAAGTACCAGTCATCTAGAAATGCTGAGTAATAGTAATAATAACAATATTAATAACTGACATTTATATGATGTCTTAAAACTTGCAAAGCATTTTCTAGATGGGCCCAATTTATCTGTTTCTGAAGGTAAGCCTAGATAGGTATGGAGAGGCTCACTCCCAGAAGGCTGGCCACCATTCACAAAGGCTATCCACTGAGGCATATGCTAAGGGTTGGGGTCTGTATTAGGGGAAGAGCTGAGCACAACCATAGCATCATGGTTCCTTGTGCAGTACTGAGGTCAGAATATTAAGCTTTCTCACACCCTTTTCATTCATACCTCGGGGAGCTAGTAGCTAGTAGCTTTCCTTTGTCCTTCTCACCCTCCAACTCTAGTCCTGCCACCATCTCTAAACATCACCTTCACCACTGAGCTCATTCAGTCTCTTCACCGGGAAATCCTGTTCCTTGTTTTAGGTCCATCGCTCAAATCGACCAATCATTTGCAAGGGTTGCCGGAGAACCTTCACAAGTAGCCTATCTCAGGGGCTGCGGCGGTTTGGTCTATGTGACAGCTGTACATGTATTACGAATCCACAAGATGACCCAGTACCCATCAACCTGAGCCAGATGGAGGCATCCTCTGAGGGTCAGGAGAAGGGTGATATAGACAATGACTGGCCAATATATGTGGAGTCTGGTGAAGAAAATGATCGCACTGGAGATGATTCAGATGACAAGCAAGACCTGCATCGAAGCCTTCTGAATTGAGAGGCGCTGATGTAGCAATAAATGGGGAGGAAGATTTTTAACGCCCCCTCATGACTGGTCATTCTGTGGCTCAAAACCATCCATGGACTCAGTTTTGTGGAACCCTAAGAGGTTTGTTTTTTTTTTTTAAAAACAATGACTACATTTACATTTTTGATAGAACGCAAAGCAGGGGTTGACTTTTGTGATTCCAAAATGTTTTTTCACTTTTCAGTGCTGTGCACTCTAATTTTGAGGTATTTCTATCAGTCAAATCCTCATTCTGGTCAAGCTGTGGCTGTGTTTTTCAGCTCCCTTTTCTCACTGCTGTGTGTCTGAATCCTGACTAGGAGAGAAGGTGGTTCTCTTAGTAGGTAGGAAAGAGTTTCTTTATTTGTTTTCTTTTTTCTCTTTCCAGGGAGCTACCAGAGCCTCTGACCCTCTCTCTCTTACATACATATGGGAACACACATACACCCCCTCTTTTGATCCTGCAACTACTACACTTTTTCTGAGAAAAGATGGCTAAGAGGACATTTTGCTTTGGGCCTAATTTGGAGTTTAGCCAAACTGTTCAGCTGTGATTTCTCTTTTGATGGTGCCTCCATCAAACAGGGGTGCTTTCAATTCAGATACTATGAATTCTAAATATTATTTTAGAGTGAGGCTTTAAATGAGTAGTTAATTCTGAAAACCAGTACAACGCTTGAATGTAAAATAAGATGTCTATCTGTAGGTGATGGACAAAGAAGCTGTGTGATATTTAAGTTTCCTCCCAACGCTAAGATTCCAGGATTCTATGATTTCAAGATTTGAGAGTTCCAAGATGCTAGGACTTTATGGCTTCAGGATTCCATTTCTCCAAGGTTCCAGAGGAATCTAAAATTCTAGGACTCAGATTCTATAATATGTTGATTAGATAGGTAGGCATGGAAAATACATAATAAACACAAAAAACACAAGAAAGCAACTTTCAGTAATAAAGCAAAGGGCTCTTCTGCTCTGTCCCTCTGAGGACACATTATAAAGTGAGCCTTATGTAGTAAGCAGTAGAGCCCCCGTGGTGGTTCACAGAATGTTAAACCTGAATGGAATCTTAAAGATCATCAATTTCAGATCCCTCATTTTACAGATGAGGAAACCGAAGCCCTGAAAGTCCAAGTGATTTGCCCCAAATCACACAACTAATCAGTGATAGAATTCTTCCAGCCTTTGATATTTATTTGATATATAAATACCATTCACATAGCTCATGTTTTGTGATTCCAAAAGGATTCCATAGGATCATAGATTTCAAGTCCATTTTACAGATCAAGAAACTTGAGTCCCAGAGAATATGTTACCCAAGGTTATGCAGAGCAGGGGTTCAAACCCAAATGCTCTGACTGCAAAGCTAGCATTCTTCCCTTTGTACTGTGCCATTCAGACCATTGTCACAGGAGCCAAGATACTAACCTGATTTCCCTTTTCACTTCCTACTTCAAGGCTCTAGTGCTATGTAAGCTTAGAAATATAGTTACCACAGAAATTTCACGAGTTTTACTTAAGTACAGAATATTAGAGCAAAAGTGTAAACTTTTAAAAAGCAAATTTTAGTGCCCCGTCCCCATGATCTTTTCAAAGTTTCCATAAGGGAGAGAGGGAAGTGCCCAGGGAGAAGAGAAATACTTACGAGGTTCACTATATTCCTCCACCCTCTTTGCAATCTTCTTGGTTACTCTGGTGAATGTGGCTGTTTAAAGGATTAAGGAAATCTTGGGTAATAAGGCCATCTTTTGTAATTGAGCTCACTGGTTAAATTTACATTGTGGCCTGATTATCTGCCATCTCTTGAGGTACAAATGTGTTCTCCTGAAGGTGGTATAGTAATTTTGTTCTCTGCCTTCTGAGTGCAAAATTAGCTGAATGCCTTATGGAATTAGCTAGGAGCCTAGAAATGATTTATTGGTAAATTACTTTGAACCAGCACTGCAAAGAGGTTAGTATGGTGTGGGCTTAAATAGCTAGCCAAAGAAACAGCCAGAGTTATAGCTGTTGGAAGAACGAATTGGAGTGAGGTTTGCTATTAAAAAAATGAGTCAACACTAGAAACATTTTCCTTAATGCAAAAAAACAGGGACTCTTTCCTGTTGTTTTAAAGGAGAGATCTTAGTAAGACAGAAACCCTAAACTGGTGGTATTGGAGGGATATACAGAGAGCAGTTTTCAATGATAAAACTTTTAGTAACCTCTCTTTAAATATTTGAGACTTTTCTACCTCACAGTCCAGTTTTTGCACCTATATTGGCATGTAATAAGATCACAGTCCTGTTTGGGACCTTATAACCTGTCTATATTCCTGAGCATAAAGACATAATTGCCTATTGAGGACTTCTCTGTAAGATCCAGTAGGATGGGGAATACATCCTAAAAATGGAAGAATGTCACTATTTCCTTCTTTTCATACACTGTATTCCACCTCCAGAATCAGAATGCTTGACAGACCTTCCCCAGTTGCGCCCCTCCAAAGCCTTGGGAAGTAGCTGGCTCTCTTTTTTCCAAAGGTACAGATGGCAGGTAACTAGTTAAGTTCATAGTTCATTTCAGGTGAAGAAGTAGAACTGAAGAAATCCTGGCTTTGAGGTATGTCTTCAGACCAGTAAATGGATCATTACTGAATTTGAAAGTAGCAGAATGGCTAGGAGAAAATGAGATGTGAAATTTCATCCTTGAAAGATTTTCTCAGGATAGAGGTCCTTTCCATAATAATGTTTTAGCTTGTTATGGTCATAGATGGTCCATCATTTCCCCTTCATCTCAGTTCTGGAGAGCAGTATCCACACTAAAAGCATTGGCATTTGAAATTATACTCAGCTCTCTGGGTTCCGTCATCTTGCTGGAGGAGGTGTGTTTTTTTATATGCAATATCAGTTTGTAAACTAAATGTCTATTTATTTTAAATTACTGTCCACATAGGAGATATTTCTGAGCTTTTTTTTTATTGCCTTTAAACTGTTATTCAGTGGAGCTGGTAATGTTTTTATAAGCAGTAAATTCACAACAGTGTCAGCACAGGCCAGTAGTGACTGAAATTTTATGTCCCACAGGGAAGTCTTGATGACTCCTTTTCTTTCTGTACATTCAAACTAAGTTCACAAAGAAACTTTAAAAAAACCCCTGTAATTGTAGAAATGACTAGCAGAGGAGAAGAAAGAGGGTTTGTGTGTTTAATGGAATTTGAAGTGGGGTCCATGGATAGTGGGAACTCTTGGGGACAGGCCTTCCCAATGATGGGGGTGGGGTGGGTGGGTTTGGAATGTAAATACAGATTAGTGTACTAGACTAAGGAATCCTACTGTCTGGTCATTTGGCCAAGATATGCTGCTAGGTGTAAATATTTGAGTGCTCACTAGACATTGAACATCCCTAGTAAGGTGCTCATCCATGGTCTACAGTTCCACTGTAGAATGAAAATTTCTGACCATTCTAGGTCATGTCAAACTGACCATGGCGAACCTCCTGGAAATATGGTGCAATCATACCCAACTCACAAGAGAAGAAGGTAACAGTCAGAAAGGCCACAGGGGAGACAGGAAAAAACCTATTGGGTTACTCAGATAACTTCATTTGGGCCTAGAGATTTCCCTATGTACAGAAAGCAGGACTATCCTTGTGAAATCTTGTGGGGATACTAGGCCCTCTAAAGGCTTAGGTTAAGAGAAATATTCCCATAACACTCTGATCAAAGAGATCAGCTTCATGGGGACCTGGGTTGGCCTTGTATTTTCCTGCAGAGGCTATCATCCCATTTGGGAAAGGATGCACTTTACTATCTAGTTTGGCCCAAGTCATGTTTGCTTTGATTTGTTTCCTTATACTGTTTGGTCAATCTACCAAGTTCTCCTGCTTTTAGCCAAATTCTACTGCACCTCCTTCATAGGGCTGGAAAAAGACATCCTTCCTCTCACATGACACTTTTTGAGGAAGGAGGGAAGCCACCTTGAGTACAGGTGGGTTTGTTTGTGTCTAATGTGCCCTTGTGCTGAGGAGATGGCAAAGAAAGCCCTTTCTATTTGGGTACCTTCAAGTGGCAAATGAAAAGCATGTGTTTTCCCAAGGAGAAAGAGGCAGCTAAGTAGTACATTGGACTTGGAGTCAGAAAGAGGTGACTTCAAGTCCTGCCTCAGTCTCTAGCTGTGTGATGCTAGACAAGTATCTTAACTGCCCTCAGCCTCAGTTTCCTCATCTGTAAAGTGAGAACATAATAGTGCCTACCTTACAGGGTTGCTTTGAGGATGAAATGAGACAACATATGAGAAGTGCTTTGCAAACCTTAAAGTCCCATATAAATGTTAGCTGTTATTATTATCCACATTCACAGTGGGTATTTAAGGGTGCAGTAAGAACACTGGACTTAAAATAGCGAGACCTGGGTCTCATGGTTCTTAACTGGATGCTTATGGAGAAGCTGTTTTCTCTGTCCGGATCTAAGTTTCATCATTAAAAATTATTTTTTTGGACCTAGAAAAACAGAACCAAAAACAGTGAGGAGAAGGTACAGAGAGGCCAGTGTAGGAAATGCTGTCAGGAAGCACTTCCTAACAAGAAGAGCTGTCCAAAAGTGAAATGAACTTCTTAGAGATGGGTGGATTCCCCCTCCTCGGAGGACTTTTGGCAGAGGCAAGATGAGTTACTTATACTGGAGATGGCGTTTTTCGCTTAAGTAAAGGGTGGACCAGATGACCACTGAAGTCCTTTCCAGCTCTCAGGTTCTGTGGATCACTTGTAAAAAGCTCAGAACAGTACGGGTACTAGTAATCTCTACCTCCCTGGGTTGCTGTGAGGATGATTTTTCACACTGTAGACTATAAAAATGTGACCTGTTATTACTATTATTACTACTCATGGTCTGGCAGTGACATTGTAGAAATTAATTTTCTGCTGATTCAAGGCTTCTAATGATCTGATGGCCCTGAATAGTCATCAAATACTGTGCGCTTGGTCACAGAACGTCAGAGCTAGGAGCCACTTCTTGTTTATTGTTTAGTCATGTCCACTGCTTCCTGATTCTATTTGCGGTTTTCTTGTAAAGATACTGGATTGCTTTGCCATTTCCTTTTTTTTTTTTTTTGGCCATTTCCTTCTCCAGCTCATTTTACAGATGAGGAAACTGACGCAAACTGGGTTAAGTGACTTGCCCAGGGTCACATGGCTAGGAATTGTCTGAGCCAGGAAGATGAGTCTTCTTGACTTCTGTCCACTATACCACCTAGCTGGAGCCACTTAGGATACAGTCATTTCTAGAAAGGAAAATATGAGGTCCAGAGAAGGAAAAGGACTGTCCTACAGTCATGCAGAGCTATGTAGTGGTAGAGCTGGGACTAGAATCTATATCTTCTGTGACTGCTAGTCTAATGTTTCCCATCACATTGTGCTGCTGTCACATAAGTACATCAATAAACTATTTTGGGAGGAGGAGGAGGCCAGCCACTGTGCAGAGGAAAACATGACTGGGGCCTCCTGTGATTATATACACTTGTCTTGTGTTGGACACGACCTGGCTCAGTTTTAAAGTTGGACAAGGAAAGTGGAGGTGAAGAATCAAATAATAATAGCTTACATTTCTATACCACTTTGATACTGCACTATGCTTTCCTCATAACAATCCTATGAGTTAGGCAGTGAAAGTATTTTTTTTTTGGTTTGGATGGAACCTGTGATTTCATAGGTATAGAGATCAGCACCTGCTCTGTGACTTATGCCTTTAGAGAGCTACCTGGAGCACCAGGAGGGTATGTGACTTGCCCGGGATCAAACAGACAGTATCTATTAGAGGCAGCATTTAATCCAGGTCTTCCTGACTTCCAAGTGGGGCCTCTGTCCACTCTCCCAAATTGCCTCTGGTAAAAGTATCTTTATCCCCATTTTAGAGATGAGGGAACTGAAGCCCGGAAAGAGGAAGTGCCTTGCCCAAGGTCACTCCTCCAGTAGAATCAGAGCTGAGTCTAGAATCCAAGGAATTCTGATTCTAAGTGTTTCTGCCATTGTACTACACTATGCCCTTCAGTCCTAGGAAGTTTATTTAGTTCTATTGTGTTTTGGTGCCCAAGCGGATCAGCAACCAGAAAAGTCCAAGCTCTGAATGAAATAGGAATAATAGATCCAGTGTGGGCCATTTACTTTAAATAAGTATTGTGGGTTGTTGTTTGCAAATATGTTCATGGTCTTGGTCTCAAAAGGCCCCTGTGGAAGAAATAGTGAAACAAGATCCTCACATTTCCCTTGTGATAGCGTTACAGGATGAACCTGGTACTCACTGAGAGACATTAATTGTGCATGATTCAAGAGGCTGGGTGGAGCTGTCATGTTTGAAGCTAAGGGAAAATTACCAAGCATCTTCACCAGCCAATACCTCCCGTTTTATTATGGTGTCCAAAGTAAAAACATATCTCCAGTGTTTGGGATCACAGTGCATCTGAGTGACAGCATCTTTGAAAGCATTCTTTATCTAGAGTTTTGCTAAAAGGCCTTTATAGTTGTTGCTTCAATTATCAATGAAAAATGGATTAGTCTCTTTTTAATACCTACTTCTCCTTCCTCTCTCCCCGAGCAGTATTCCACACGTAAGAAGAAAGCTCTATCCTGAGATAAAAATGAATTTGGGGCTGAAGGGTTCAAATTAGCATCTCATTTAGAAAATGAGCTTGGGAAGAAAAGGAGATGATATTTAAGGTACCATTATGCCTGCTTGGCTTATGTTGAATCTGATTATGAAGCTGGAACACAAAAAGCTTAGAATGAGAACATCTCCAGCCTTTTTCAATAAAAAGACTTTCCTTATCTTATTTGGCAATGCAGTCTTAAAAGCCAGTCTGGGTGCAGGAATGTCCTGTCCCTTCTAGTACTGGACATTTAACTCAAGTAAATCACTGGAAAGCTTGGGCTGAGTAAGGAACTTTAACAGTTTTGACAGGATGACAGGTTTAGAGCTGGCAGGAATCTTCGAGCTCACCTACAAGGGAGCCCGTTGTTTAACAGTTGAAGAAACTGGGCCCAAAGAAATGAATGACTTGCTCAAGGTTATGCAGGTATTAAGTGGCAGAGATAGGATTTGAACTCAGGTCTTTTGACTCCAAATCTAATACTTTTTTACCTGGACCATGCTGCTTCTAGGATAATGTTAGCCCATTGTAAACGAGGTCCATGGGAAAGTGTGAGACCCTGCAGCAATGTGGTGCTACTTATCACTGACTGACAATGTTGTTTTTATGGAACTTATTGCTATCTGTAACGTTCTGCCTTAGTAGTATTTTCTTAGAACTACTTCACCATCACATCGGTGGGGCCAATAACATGTAAATAACATGCATGTCTTGAGTGTGAAATTATAGATCCTTTCCCCTTAGCTGTACATCTTTTATTTACTTGGGCCTCATTCATATTCCAGGCTTTGGGTTTGATTTTCTGTAACTGAGATGAGAATGACACTTGCTTTATGTGAAAGACTAATGAAGTTTGCTTAGTATCATCAATTAAATGAGATAAAATGTAAATCACTTTGCAAGCCTTAAGGCACTATATACATGCTGCTATCATCATCATCATCATCATCATCATCATCATCACTATTATTAGACTTTAGCTGAGGAAAAGCAACATATCACAAAATAGTCATTCAATCAGTCAACTAGCATTTATTAACACCTACTATGTGTTAGGCACTGTATAAGCACTGGAGATACAAAGAAAGGCAAAAACAACAACAAAAAAAACCAGACCTTACTCTCAAGAAGCTTAACGTGCAACATGAGGCAACATGCAAACAACTATGTATCCAGGGTAAACTGGAGATAACCCAGAGGGAAGGTACTAAGATTAAGGAGGCCTAGAAATGGCTTCTTGCAGGTGGGATTTTAGCTGAGACTTGAAGGAAGTCAAATGGAGGCTATTTCTATTTACTGTACTTTGAAAAGAAAAATTATTCCATTAATCATCTCATTTCATCTCTTGGTCCCGTGGTGTAAGAGACTACCAGTCTCCCTTTGGAGATGTAATTTTTGCTAATCAAAATCTCTCCAATGAGGCTATTAGGGATTTTGATTGACGATGGCAGCTTACTTCTTTGGCAATACAGTGTGTAATAATAGAAACCATAACTGTGGCAGATGACCCAGAAACCTGAGGAAGAGCCCAAAGCTACAGTTGCAGATCTCTGGACCATGACAGCTCCATGACCATAAACCATCTAAAGGAAAAGGAAACTGACATCCAGTCTTTG